ATCCCAAATTTGTTGCTCACCAGCTTACTTTATATGCTTATGTAGCTTGGAGTTATGCCACCGGATCTGGATCTATTATTGTGTTTGATTTATTTCATCTTGTCGTTCCAGGTGATTGGCTGTTGCTTGATATCCCCGGTGTGGCTGCGCTTGATGTGCATGTTGACAAGGTGCCTACCTGTCTATTACCCACTACCTCGTCCATACTGGCTCTAGGAGACAGTTGGTCGTTGCTGGAGGGGACGGAATGCATGGTGCTTGTGGCCGTGTTAGTATCCATTAGTGGTTCCATCCACTCAGTGTGGAGCGGACTACGGTCCAGCCACGGCCTTGTGTGCGGTTGATTTCCCAAATACAGCGTGCTTGTGTTTGGCTGTGAAGGAGTGTGGGCCGGCTCCTTTGATGAAACGTGGTTCCCGTCCACATGCCTCCTGGTCTTATTCCTTCGGTTTTACACTGGATATGGGGTGTGTGGTTGGAGCTGTGGGTGGTGCAGCGCAATCCACCCATGGTCCCCGTGTAGGCGCAGGCGTCATGTGTCTGGCCCCAGTGCCAGGCAAATCCGAAACCGGATGCCGCCTTCCATGTATTTCCATGCTGATGCTGATGTTGCATTCTTGATGCTTCTTCACCGCAGTTGGGCAAACCAACTTACACTTAAACGGTCTTTTTATGCTGGAGGAATTTTCTTCCACTTTATTTGGTTTGTTCTGCCTACTTGAATATTCTTCTATTAACTGGCTACTTTACTTAATCAAATTGCGCTTATCTTCGCTTCACTTTGTTGTGTTTGTGGCATTTTTAAGTAACGTGTGGACTTTTCTTACTTGTCGCGGATTCGTTGCTAAGCAACTTACTTCATATGGTAATTTAGCGACGAGTTATACCACCGTATTTGTATGCATGATTGGATTGATTTTATTTTACCTTGTCGTTTCAAGTGAATGCTTGTTGGTTGATATCCCCGGTGTGGCTGCGATTGATGTGCATGTTGCCAATGTGCCTACCTGTCTATTACCTACTACCTCGTTCATACTGGCTCTAGGGGACAGTTGGTCGTTGCTGGAGGGACGGGGTGCACGGTTCTTGTGGCCGTGCTAGGCTCGCATCAAGAGCATAACGCATCATTGTACGAATATAAACAATAAACACAGCAGGAGGTTAGATATAGTCTTGTTTCACACCGGTGACAACTGCAAAGTCATCCGTGGTCTCTCCACTCAGCTGCACCCTCGCTCGCATACCGCTGTGCAGACATTCAATTAAACTTACAAACTTCCGCGGCAACTAAACTTACCCAACACCAGCCGCAATGCCTCGCGGTTCACCCGTATCAACTGTTTTGGTGAAATCAACAAGAAGCGAGTACAACCGCTGATGTCGTTCTCTGCACTTCTCCTGCAACTAACAAGCGGCGAACACCATATCTATAGTGCTGCGACCCGAACGGAATCCACATTGCTCTTCCGCCACGTTCGGTACCACAACCTGACTGACGACGCGGTTGAGCAGGATTCGGGCAATCACCTTGCCCACACAACTCAGCATGTTGTTGCCACGATAATTCGTGCAACATTGCTTGCTCCGTTTGCCCTTGTACAGCGGTAGCACAAGGGCATCCTTAAGCTCAGGTGGAACCTCCTCCACAATCCATACGCGTTGCACCAAGTGGTACTGGGCAGTCACCAATGCGGGTCCGCCATGTTTCAATACTTCAGGCGGGATCCCGGCGGCACAGGCGGACTTGGTGTTTTGCAGCTGAGCAAGTGCTCTCTGCGTCTCATCCAGTGTCGGCGTGTCTGCCAGATTCGCCTTCGCATCGTACTGCTTAAGACCGCTCAAAGTTGGCCAGTCGATCTCTGAATGGTTGTTAAAGAGACAGTCAGTGTTTTCGCCAGATGTGCGTTATCTGTCTGGTCTCTGTGCAGCTATTTCCTGAACTACCATCGATCAGTGTCCTCAGCGGCTCCAATCTCGGTCCATACACCGCCTTCAAGGAGTCAAAGAATTCCGTGGGTTGGCGGCGTTCGGCGTAGCATTCCATCTGCTTTCTTTCTCCGTGCATTATTCATTTTCAACGGGCCGGAGCTCGCGGATCAGTCGCTGTCGAAGTTTACGGAACTGGCTACTCTTCCCCAAGTCATTGGTGTCTGCCACATATGCAGCAAATGCTGCATTCTTCTCTGACACCAATGCGCCATTCGTCGCATTGTTCTCATCAAACCAATCAGGCCGCTTACAGTTAGCGCGCCCGATGGCCTCCTCGGCAGCAGCTGTCACCTGGTCGCGAATGTGGTGCCACAGGTCGCCCAATGTGACTATGCATTCCACATCACTCAGGCATGCAGCCACCGCCTTTTTCAACTCAATATGTTTCGCCCCATACTGAGGGAGAGAATGTTAAATTTACGCCGATTCACGGCGGGAGTGTAATACATAGATTTACGGAAATATATGTTTGGTGCGCACCAACTTGTGATCAGTGTCACACTCAGCTCCACGCAATACACGTGTCATGCGCAGTTCGCGCATATCACGCTGACGTACGATGACATCGTCGAGTAATTGTGCGTGACCACTCCGTGGGTGCGTCCAAGTTGCTATATCACTTGTACTCCGTGCAAACCGAGTATGCGTGATTGTCATGCCGTGAGTGGCATGCAATGAGAGCAGCCTGTCACCGTTCGCATTCGCTGAGCCAATGCAATGCGGACCGATGACATCACGCTCAACGCGCGCGTTGAAATTCCCCTAGCAGACATAGTCGGTCGCTGTTTGGCACAGACCGTATCACGGAGGATAGCTGAGTGCAGAATTGATCATGCGTGTCATCAGGATAACGCATGGTCGGACCGTACGTGCTTATAAAGGTGGCAAACGTCTCTTCCGAGTCGTAGGCGAACAGTCATCAGTCGCGTGCTGATGCCCTTTGGTTCACCCACCAGCTGGCCATGGAAGCGATCAGCTAATGCAAATCCGACCCCATGTTCACGTGGTGCCGAGATGGCGTTAACCACCCAGTTGAGTGTGTAGCCAGCACCTGCTTCATGCAGCTTACCTTGTTCAGTGTGCCGGGTTTCACCGAGCGCCGCAATATCGATGTGGTAACGCGCCAGTTCCATCGCAACCAGTGTAGTGAGTCGCTCGGGGTGCTCACTGGAGTTCCGGTCCAGTAGTGTGCGCACGTTCCAGCACCCAATGCTGAGTGCTTTTCGTGTGGGCATCCGGTTGTGCTGGTGGACAATCGGACGCGAGATTGCGGTTGTACTTCGGAGGTTTGCTTTGTGGACTCCACCTTGTGATATTGGCTATATGGCCTGACCCGCAAGTCAGTGGGTGATTTGGTGATTTGCTTTAGGGACTTCGCCCGGAACCTTTGACTCAGGATATATATATATATATATATATATATATATATATATATATGGATATATAAATTCAACACGTTCAATCGTACAATTAGCCTAGTTCCAACACGTGTGCTATTTACGGTGAACAGACGAAGAGAAAGGAAAAAATAGAAACCTGTGTTCATGAGGATAGAGTCACCACTGGCTCGCTATTGCACATGATTTCTTGCCATTTCCGAGGTTGTTTTCAGCAATACGTGTTCCTGCTCTTTTACACCCCAACCAGGGAGCAGACATCGCCCGGCCACGACTGACTTTGACGTTAGATCTTTCATGCTTTTGGCGCCAGCCCTATGTTGGCCTTGCTTATTTTAGCTTCTATCTTTCTGCGCGCGCGAAGGGTGCACGGCGAGGTAAGCGATGAGTAGGCATGCGAAGAGCACGCCCGAACTGCTGAAGTCTGCGCGGAGAGTTATGTTGCTCAGTGGCCGGCAAAGTCTGTCTGATCTGAAAATCCTCCGTTAAAACAACCTCATTACTAGTGTGATGTTGCCATCGTACACCGGCGATGCTCCGAAGGCAGCGATGGTCAAAAACAGACAGCTTCTCAACGTCCTTTGCGCGAACAGGCCAAGTCTCGCAATCATAGAGCTGAACCGCTCTCACGGTGGAATTGTGAACTTGGCACTTCGGAGATAGACTCAGATCGCCTCGACGCCAGAGATGGCGGCGATTGACAAAAGTCACCCGAGCTTTGGAGATGCGCAAAGTGACATCCGTTAAACCATTAACGCTGCGACAGCTTCCGAGGTAAACGAACTTGTCTACTGGTTTCATTAAATGGCCTGAAATGATAAGCGTACGATCATCGCCGAGCCAGCCTTTCAAGATGTCCTTGCACGAAGGTCATTTCAAGCAGGGAGACAGACACCTCCCACATACACAGGACATTTGGGCGGCCTGTGAGGAATCGTAGATCATGGCGACGTCTACGTACTCCAAACCCCGAACTCGATCCCCCGGAAGCATCTGGACGCCGCTGCGCTCGCATAGCTCCAAAGCACTCTCTAAGATTTCGTCCATCGAGAAATTTAACAAGATGGTGGATGCTGTACAACATTGTCTCACGCTGCTGGTGATACTAAAGGGGGGGAAAGTCTGCCGTACACCCGCGCTTGGCCCGAGGGTTGAGAGTAGATACAAGTGTTATTGACTTTGTGTATGCGCCTTTACCATAAATGTTTGCCTCAGTTCCGCTTCTCTCCCTATTAATTCTCATTCCCAACATCATAGTGACCACATCGGTTGAACTTACTACCGTACTACTGTTGTCGACATTGACCATCTTTACGGAACTTGTAGGGAAGTCTCTTCTGATTGGGCCAGTTCGGCAGGGCCAGTAGTTGGCCATTCATATTATTTTGCTCCGTTACTTATTTGTTGTTTTTGTGGACCAGCTGCTTCTATATATATATATATATATATATATATATATATATATATATATATATATATATATATATATATATATATATATATATATATATATATATATATATATATATATATATATATATACATGGCTCATCTGTTTACGGCTGATTGTGGTTTTGACCGAAGTTCTTTATCGTTTCGCCTTTTCTTTCATTTAGATCATCGTTACCTAGCCTATCCTCACATGCACCAGTCATTGAAACTAATGGAGCCACGGGCTTTACGACGAACGCATGAGAGGGTGCTCTCTATTCGATCCGCTACTGGGTCTTCCGTCAGCCAGCGTTCTATCGAAGCAGGGGTCTTTGATGATTTTCTCATTGCCGGTCGTTTTACTAACCCTGTAGATGGGATGTCGTCATTCACCAACACCACCTCAGACCCTCTTCATGCGGTTTCCGATTCGCCAACTGCGTCCGACGTCTGTATTCTAACTGATTCTGCATTGCCGGGCATTGACCTACCCATGAACATTGCTGATCATGGGTCAGAGTTGACGCTTGGAGTGCCTTTTGCAAATTTACACCAACTGGACCCAGCCAGTCCCTCTTTGGCTGACGGGGCTTGCGTTTTGGGTCAAGCTCAAAAGAGCCGTCAATTCCAAATGGATTCTTGGTCCGTTTTGCGTGCTACAGCTCCATGGAAAGAGTTCATATCGGATGTGACTTTTCATCCATCCCTGTTCGTTGAGAGTTCCCATGGAGGCTCCACTTCTGATGCTTTCGATTTTAAATTTCCTGCGAGGCGACCACTCCGACCGCGCAGGTAAGATCTTTTTCCTTGTTTAAATACTTTTTTCCATTTCGCCCATCCTATGACGTTGTAGCAATGGCACATCCTTGGTGCAAACTTAGTTTATCGGACTCGATCGCATCTTGTGAGTACAAGAGCATCAAACACTGTTCGCGTTGACTGCGGTGTTCTGATTCATCTTCTTTAACCACTTGTTTCTGGGTACTAGTCTAGTGCCTTTTTGATGAGCAAGTGTTCTTTGTTGTGCAGGAATCTATCGCAACGAGACTGGACCCCATCGCAACGAGGCTTGACTTTAACTTTTTGCGATGGTTTGCGTACCTCCGTGATCCATTGAGTTTTACGCTGGATGACACTTAAAATGCCTTCAGAGCCACTCATACCGGACAAGTCAATGGTTAGGAGTCAGACAAACTCAGTCTCACAATCAAATCTAATCCTCTTTAACGTTAGGTAGAGGTCGATGGCCATCGGATATAACAGGTCTGCGGGTTCTAAACTCAGCTAGGTTAGTGTAAAGCACGACCGCCATGCATTGTCTCTGACAGTGGGGTATGGGGTACTTTCCGGTGCTCAGTGGTTTGCCATGGCCCGCCTCATGGTCAAATTCGTGCAAACTGGCCAAAACCTTCTTGCAGCTTGCCGTGGTGGCGGCATCCGTGTCCGGATTTGCCTGTCCCTGGGGCCTCCACAGCAGGACGCCTGGGCCTACAGAGGGGCCATGGGTGGCTTTCGCTGCACCATCCACAACTCCATCCACACACTCCAAATCCGGTGGAAACGCGATGGAATAAGACGGGAGGCATGTGGATGGGAGCCACGTTTCAGCAACGGAGACGGCCCACACTCCTTCGCAGGCAAACACAAGCACGCTGTATTTGGGGAATCAAACACACACAAGAGGATGGTTTGGTCCTAGCCGGCTCAGCACACAAACCATGTGCATAGAATCACTCTTCGAGCCTAGCACGGACACAAGGACCGTGCATTCCGTCCCCTCCAGCAACGACCAACTGTCTCCTGGAGCCAGTATGGACGAGGTGGTGGGTACTAGACAGGTGCGCACCTTGTCAACATTCACATCGATCGCAACTACCCCGGGAGTATCAATCAACAACCGCCGTCCCTGCAATGCAGGGAACCCAACACACAGCACACATACAGACTATTATTGCCGCTTAAAGCGTGGCTAGTTACAGTATCAGGAAGCTAGGCACTAATGTAAATAATATGGTACACATAGTAATGCTATATGCATGAGAGAGTGACTGATATGCTTTCACGGTGGCTGTGAGCCCCATTGCTTGCAGTGCGTTGCGACTGGATGCGTCCGGTATTGCGCACGTGGACAGAAGCGCACATCTCCGTTGTCCGGTTGTTCCAGTGATGTTTTATTGTGTGGTACGTCTTGATGCGATATCCCATCGGAGTGAATACGAGCTAAAGTGCATTCGCAGTTGCCACGTGCTTCGATGCCGGCGTGTTAATAGACAGGCTCCATCTACTGTTTTGACGTAGCGTGTATATCACATGTTGTGTATCACGTGACATGTGATTAGGCTTTGCCATGCAGGGTACATAAAATGTGTTTCAAATGGACCTAATACCCTCTTCTAAGCAAAATGAGTGCATATGTTTGGGTGGGGGAACAAAATAATGCTTGCATTATGACATTAGTTTTCACTAGGTGTCATATCCAGCAGGCCAATGCACTTGTCATCCGGATCGAGTGACACGTGTTCTTTTCTTTGGTTGAGGCACCAGTTAGTGGTGTTACCGTCAGTGGCCTTTTGTTCATAGAGGCTTGGGTTATCTGCTGATATGGATTCCAAAAAATCGGTCTAAACAGGTTGCAAGTGGTCAGTACTAACAGTGTCCGTTCTATTATATAGCTTTACAGTAACATGCTTAGCATGACGTCTAAGAACTAAAAAAGGACCCTCATACGGAGGTTGTAAGGATTGTTTAACACGGTCCTCGCGAATGAAAACATGAGTACACGGTTAAAGATCAGAGTGAACGTATGATGGTTTCGCTCAATTCGTGGGTGCGCAATAATGAAGTGGGCTCATGTGATTCCGCAGTTCAGTAACTTAAGTGAAGGGGTCAGTGTTACTGTTGGCCATTGGGGTAAAAAAATATTGGCCTTGGATGCGCTATGTAGTTCCGAAAACAACTTTTTCGGGTGAACATTGAAGGGTTGATTAAAACATTATAAGCAAATGTAGCCAAATCATCGGAACTGCGCTTTGATCGCAGTTTTTAAGTGTCGATGAAAACGGTCGACTAAACCGTTCGCTTGAGGATGATGAGCTATGGTGCGCATCCTTTTGCAGCCCAATTGTTCCGCCAGGATTTGGAAAGCTGGGATTCGATTTATGAATCGTAGTCAGTGGTGGTGTATGAAGGAACGCCAAAAATAGCTCTTTATCTGGTGACCTGTGCACGGGCGATGGTTTCTGCAGGTGTCTGCAATGAGAATGGCTTCAGGTCATCGAGGGAAACAGTCGATGCATGTCAGGACTTATGAGTTACCACTGGAATAGGGTACGGGTCCGACAATATCGATGTGGATATGATCGAATCTGCTGTTTGGTTATGTAAAAGCTCCGATATCCGATTGCTTACACCGAGCGACTGTCAAACGTTGACATCCTAAGCAAGTTATTGCCCACTTTCGGCCATACAAAGCGTTAGATCACTTTGACAGTTGCACGTATACGAGACGTTATGAAGAGCCACGAACATGGTTCTGTGCATGGATAAAGTAACCTATGATCTTGCGATTGCCGTGGAAACATCACAATCAATCGTACCTGGTCTCTGGAACTTATGGATGCTCGCCGACGTACTCCGGCTGGAAGCGAATACAATGAGACTCGTAGAAACCTCAGGGTACAACTGCGTGCTAGCCTGAAGAAAGACCGCGAAGCCTGGTGGTCTCATCGGGCCTCGGAGATGGAAACAGCCGCTACCGTTGGTAATCATCGTAAGTTATTCCGTCTGATACGGGTAACATGCGGCAGCAGATCTGTTGTTAGCGAGACCATACGCGACGAGAGTGGGCAGCCGATCCACAACCTCTCAAAACGCTTGGAGAGTTGGGCCAAACTCTTCAAGGCAGTTTAACCAACCTGAGTTATCGCTTTCTTTTTCGGGCATTGAGCGCCCTTCTCTTTGGGCCGTCTCCTTGGATCCGCCCTCACGAGCAGTAATCGAACGTAAGATCAGGCTGTTGAAATTGCATAAGGCCGCAGTGGCAGGAAGAATTCCCCCAGCCCTCTTCAACTTGGAGAGAAGTGTTCTTGTGGATGATTTACGCGAGTTGCTAGTGAAACTTTGAGAGCAGGTGACTGTCCCGACAGATTGGAGCTGTTCCATCAGTGTACCAATTTTCAAAGTAGGCTCCAGTTCGAAATGCGGCACTCCTAGAGGGATCAGTCTGATCTCGATTGCCTCAAAATTGCTTGCGTCTGTCATTCTTCACTGACTGACTGGCACTCGTGAAAGCCAGATTCGTGAAGAGCAAGTCGGGTTTCTTCGAGGTTGGGGTTGCATCGACGACATCTTCACCTTGCGTCAATTGTTGGAGCACCACCATGTTTATTGGCGACCCATTGTTGTCGTGTTTCTTGACATAAAAGGTACCTTCGACTCAGTCGATCGATGTGCCCTTTGGGACTGTCTGCTGAGGAAAGCTGTGCTTGAAACATATGTAAACATTTTCCAACCGCTGTACGCGCATGGTTCGGGCAGAGTGGGAGTTTATGACAAACTGTCGCCACCCTTGAGTATCACCAGCGGTGTGAGACAAGGTTGCCCGCGGTCACCTTTCCTATGTAACTACGGAGTTGACGAAGTCACGGAACAGCATTCGCTGGACACAACCTAGAAGGTGTGGAGCTACTTCTTGTTGAGCGATTTCTTGACTTGGAGTATGCGGACGACATTGCCCTGCTCTGTGACAGATCCCAAACATGTCAAGCAGCACTGGACCGACTAGCACTGACTGTCTATCGTTTTGGGCTATGCTTTGCTCCATCGAAATTCAAAGTACTTCTGCAAAATTGGCAGGGACCCACCCCTGCGCTAATGCTCGATGGTGATCAGCTGGAAGTCATTCAGGAATTCAAGTACCTGGGCAGCTATATTACCGCCCGTGGGATCGAAGATGAGGTTACGAACCGTAAAGCAAAAGCTCGAGGTACTTTTGCCAATATGCGCCACCTGCGGCTCAGACGCGTCGTTACTCTCGCTTGGAAGGGCGGAGTTTATAATGCAACTGTCCGTTCAACTCTCCTTTATACTTGTAAAACCTGTCCTATCATGTCGACAGACGTAAGGAGGCTCGTCACATTCGATCATTGCTGCCTTCACAGCTTAGCTCATGTCTGGTGTGAGCAATGAGCGTGTTTATCGTCGCGTATTTGGTGCAGTAAGTGCTAGTGAACCACTCAGCACCATTATACCACGCACCAGGCTCCGATGGTTGGGCCACGTGTTGCGCATGCCAGCACATCGACTCCCGCGACGTGCATTGTTTGCGCGCCGGGGGTGTGGCTGGAAGAGAATTAGGGAAGACCAAACGACGACTTGGTCGAACGAAATGAAAACCTTCATTTCGAAGTTAGCGTTGGTTGGTGCATCCCGACTGCCTGGCTGGGGTGTTGAGGACGATGAATAGGTTTGGTTGGACACACTTGCTGACATGGCTAGGAGCCGGCCCCAATGGCGTTTGTGTTGTGAGTTTCTTTGTCCATCCCCCTGCCTTTAGGTTCTTCCTGCAATCGCGATCTCATGCAACGCGTGATATGATATTTAACATTATATTTTTCGTAGTCTAATTTTTTTAGTCTGTTATCTTTTTGTATAGCGGCACAATAGCTGAGGTGTGTTTCTCCCTCTCAACTAACGTGTAGTGATGATGCTGATTGTTATTCTTGCGATATGAGTCATAGCAACTGTAGCCACCGCACATCGGCTCTAGGACACTATTGTTCCATTGTGCGTACTTGTGCTGGACCTTTCTGCTGGTATGCCTTTTTGTGGTATATGCGAAGTCTCTATAGGTGGGTTGTGGATTTTCCAATCTTTTCTCTACCGTATGATATGCTTTAACCGTCGCTCCTGGTTGGATTTCAAACTAATTAGAAGGTATTCCATGTTAGGTAAGCGCAATATCGGTGGCATCGTATAAATGCAGTTATCGTGATTATCCAGTCATCCTTAACTTGAGACGTTTGTTTAAAGTACTAATGTCACTTATTCTCTCCATCCCCTTAGGCGACGTTCACGAGGTAAACCATTGAACTCGATGATTCAACCTAGCTTGGCCAGACTGAGCGAGGAAGGGTCTTCGGTGTCGTCCTCTCCTGTTATTTCTTCCAGTGTATCGGTTGACAACGCTGAGACTGATGGTATTCCTTTTTCTTTCGTTCCCGCTTCGCTTCTTAGTTCTGATAGGAGGATGGCCAGCAGTTACCTGTTGGCTGAGTGTTTGACTAGGATAGGTACACAAAATGACTTACCCACGTTGAACAGGTCTAATCACAACAGCGCCATTGATGGGCAAGTGGAGCATTTAATGGATCATTCCCTTTGCTACTATCATCCTCCCGATGTGCGACAGTTGCCAATATCGCTCCCAGTTTGTTCTTCCAATCATCTGCCATTGGTCTTATCATCCTCTTGTGTCACGGAAACAAACTCCATTGTACACGATCTCATCCTGCCGATCGACAGAGTAAGTTGAGTTATACATTTTTCAATCGTACAAGAGGTTGGATTTGTTTTGCACTAGGTCATGTGCTATCTGAATTCATGCTCACACATGATTTGGCAGTTGTTTGCACATCCGTGAAACCCCGCTTGAATGCATCTCGTGCTCTGTTGCTGGGGTTTGTTGGATCCCATAACTCGTTTGTAGCTACGTTGTATGACCCGTACTCAGAATCTTGCTAATTTGCTGAAGTGTTACGTGGCGTCTTCATTGACTGAACTCGTTTACTACCTTCCACGAATAATTCGTTCAGGTTGCTTGCATAGCTAACAATAACAAAGCGAGCACAAATAAACTAACGAGTTGCGAATGATGCGCTATTAAAGCCAGGAATGTGCAAGACCGGATTCGAGATGAATTTGCTTGGAAATTAATCGCTTATTTACGTTTTCTTTGGTATATTCCACATGCTCCAGTATTGTGAGAGGAAGTGTGTAGTTCGGCTTTTAGAGCAAGTGATCGTCGAATCTAGCTACGTCCGATTTGACAGCGCAATGTACACTCATTCATGGACGGTACAAGCCGATTTTTAGAGTTCTGAATTCTGTACTTTTATTAGGCTACCATGTAGAGGTCCCTACTTAGGCAGAAAAGCGTGGATGCTGATCAGAATGTCGTAGTTTCGAACTATAAATCAGTTGAGACATTTGTGGCTGCATGAAATAGCATGACAAATGAGACAAACTGGTGTTTGAAGTAGAAATTCGTAGCGAATAAGACGCTAAGAGTACTTTGTTTCCACTCTACTCACGCACTAGTGTTTTCTAGATCGCTCGGCAATTTTATCCGTTCGATGAAGTAGGAGGATTGCTATTAGGTTTCAGAACAGCCTGTGGGTGGCGTGTGCAAGAATGCCTGGGGGTTTTTTTTAGCACCAGCACATATGATGCTGGTATTGGACTTGATCGGGCAACACGTACACCCTGTGCTCTTTTATAACTTTTACGATCTCTGCGAACCCCGGCCCTAATGGGTGCTTGTCATCCGATTCGCTTTATTACATTTGGCGGGACGATGAGCTGGGTTGTTACATCTGAGTGTCGTAGTCGATTCCATGTCGTTGAACAGCTACAATGATTAAGCTTACATATATTTGCCTTGAATCCTTTTGTTACGGAGAACAAACTGTTCCCCAAGTTTATGTCTGCAGTCTGAGCTGAACCTGGTCTTGTGTACCAGCTTTTATACTTACACTTCGTTAATTCGAAGTTTTCATAACTGCAGATTGTCAGTGGGAAGGAACTAGTATTTATTATTTCTATTGCCAAAGAATTACCTACAGCACTTTTGGTGGAAGACTCTTCAGCAGCTTTAGTAGTCCGGCGCATGTGACCATACAATTAGGCGACATTTCAAGCATTATTTATGCACGGTGCCAATTTAGCTTTTTGTACGAACTGAGTTATTGGTCAAGCTAAAGTTGCAAATTGTCTTCGTTAACTGTTGTTAGTCCTTGGTTGTAAAGCTAAGTATATCGGAGTAGTTTCTATTGGAACCACGAAGAGAGCGGGTGATAGAACTTGGTTCGCGAATATGAGCTAAGCAACCTGACGGGATGTTTTTCTATGACGAAGGATGCATGCTTTACGTTACATTTCCATTAGACATATGAGGACTGGAGTTCATTGTGTATATTCTTCATAATTTCTTGCGGTTTTTCTGCTGGGAAGATAGGTATCTTCTGCTCTCCAGTAAAAGGAATTGGTTTCCCTTGTGGGGTTTGTTGAATATAAACACTACTTTTGGTATGGAACAACGCAGCGCCTTTGGAACTCCATTGCAGTTTTGATTGCCACCTATCTAACCAATTAGTTCACATGGGTCCATTTAAGCAAGATAAACCAAACCGAATCATCGGAGTTTTAAGAACACCTGCTTATTTGGTTTGCAGTTAGAAGCTCTATGCGCACCATTTTTCCGGTGGCTGCTGCCGAATTGATGTTTTGCAAGAAGTCCAGCTAACGAGTGGCTTTTTTTCTGCTCCTACATGTCTTCCGCTCATGGAACCAACATAAGAGTTATTCACTTTCCAGCACAACTTTTGAGTTTGAATTGCTGAACTGTGATGGTATTGACCCTAGGCTGCATCAGGAGAACGGGCACACAGAACTTAGTCATGTTCTCATGAACTCAGTGCGTTTCACCCTCATGATTTATGGGACTACCGATTAGTAGTAGGGTCTGTTCGAAACGCATGCAAATCTGTTGTGCTGGAAGCCACGGCACTAGCATCAGTCTCCGATTAACTGTCCGTTATTAGATTGCTCGTCTCCAATAATCGTGCTTATGTACTATACGAGAGATTGTCGTTACTTTAGGGCCAGTATGTATTCCACTTCAATTTCAGGGTTATTATTCCATCATTCCTCATTCGTATCCACCAGAACGGAGTATACAGACTATTCTCCAATTAGAATCACTTGTCACCTACACTTCACTTACCACGATACCTTCACTGCACAAACATGTTGTTCGCTTTTAACTTGTCTGCACAATTCTACAAATTCGTTCCATCTTCTTTTATTCCTCGTGTTTTTATCTCACCTTAGAGTTAACACGCTTCATGGTAAGTCTTCAAGCATTCGTTAGAATGTCTTTTTGACGTCGCGTTTTCGGCCATTCTCTAGTTCCTTCCACTTCCTCAAGATACCTAAACCTTGTATTTATTCATGCACGTAATTCATGTAGTCGTTTTCACTGCGCATGTTTCCAGCCACAGCATCTTTCTGTGCACCCGCCTCCCGCCATCTTCGCGATTTCCGTGTTACATACTCTGCTGCTCAATGTCTTGTTCAATTCCCTATTTCATTGCTTGCTTCACTTTTACATATGGGAAATATCGACACCAGAAGTCGAAATCCACAAGATATCCCTGCTACACATGTGGTTATCCCTATTTCAATCTGTTGTCTGCTTCATTCCTTTTTCTGTCCCATTTATACTTCCATCGACCTCTGTCGTCAACCGAATCGAATGTCATTGGTTTCAGTTCAGGTAGGCTCTTTCCTACAATGCTCAGCGCAGCGAATTGGTCGGTGCAGCTGATAACGTATAAATTGCACATATTTCTCCGACATTATTCCACTTTCCGCTGGCTTTCTTGGATCGCGTTCCGGATGTGACCGGCTATGGGTTGACTGACCACTCATTCTGGTCATAGAAATGAGTACTTAACAGAGGGCAGATGAACAACCTCGATGGCCACCGGCTTCTATGAAGTTATATGAGCCACCCGGCTATCAACGGCCTTCGTGCTTCGCAGGGAGTTCTGTCGTCCAAATAATCTTGGCCTCCTTGTTGCTTTATTCGGGCTTTTTGGGCACCCTTAGTAGTTTGCCTCTATCCGAAAGTCGTTCTAACCTCTTTTAGATAGCCGGCTCTCATCGTTTCGCGGGTATACTTCAATCGACCCGCTGCCTTGGGGGTTAGGTCTTTTAGGACCCAATGCTCTGGGTAGGGCCCCTTAAGTCAACCCTCCTCCTTGGCCTGAGGAATCGGGAAGCACCATGCCCACACAACCTATGGATCCATGTATCGACAGTTCCTCGCTCGCTCTCTCCGCTCTCACTCTATCTGCTCCCACTCTCCCGAACTACTCTCCTCGGCCGAGGTGCTGGCGGCTGAACGTGCCTAACCACCTTTTACTGCACCACCGTTTAATCTACTTCCACCTTTGTTCAACCCACCCATTCTTAGTCCTCTCCCTCCGTTTCCGAGTTCACAACGCCGTGCCGCCTTGCGTAAACATTCTCGCCATACGGATCAGGAGCCTATGTCCGAGAGTGCACCAACCCATATTAACAAGCCATTGCTAGCGCCTCGTTCCCACTTCAAACTGGCAACCTTCAATGTTCGGACGCTGATGCAGATTGGATCACAGGCAGCCATTGCTCACACTCTGGAAACTACGAGCATTGATGTCTGCTGCCCCAGCGAAATCGGATTACAGGACTCTAGCGCGACGCTGCGATTAGTTCCACCGTCTGCTAATTCCACTGGCATTTACACTTTGTGCCTATCTGGAGACTTCATCGCTGAAGCCGCTGATCATGCTGATGTGAGAATCGTGTTGCGAACATATGCTGAGGCCGCGCTACTGGACTAATTCCCTGTCAACAACCGACTTGAGACCTCAATGCGACTGCCCAGACGCGAAGCCAGCAGACGCTGTCTTTTCATTGTCATAGCGTACGCTCTCACAAATTGCAGCTCGGTATCAGTTAAGAACGAGTTCTATGGTCAACTGGCCGACCTTCTCCGTACCAAGCGCCGTACTGACATCGTGGTGCTCGCCGGGGACTTGAACGCGCAGGTGGGTAGACTTGAAGTTTCCCAACGTGAACTCGGTGGTCAACACGGCCATGGCACTTGCAGAACAGACAGCGGTGATCGTCTACTTCAGTTTTGGCTCGATCACGGTCTGTTTCTGTCGAGCACTAGCTTTCGGGGACCCTGGCGCCAACGCGCCACCTGGAGACCCCCATCACTTGGCCAGCTGTGGACACAACTTGACCACATAGTCTTTAGCTATCGCTGGCAGGGCTGCATACATGATTGCAAATCAATCTGGAGTACCTACCTCACTTCGGATCACGCGTTGGTAAGTAGCAAATTCGTGCTACGTTTTGGTGGCTCTCAGCAGCGTCGCCAGAAACGGCTTGATATAGCTAAACTTTCTGCCCTGAACGTTCTCCGCACTTTTCAGCATGCCTTGGTCTCAAGGCTGAGGACCTCATGCACAGACGTTGAAACGCACTGGACACATATCCGTAACGCCATGTACAACTGCAACCCTGATCTGTAGTCCTGTCAACCACTGGATCTCTGCACGATCCCTCCAACTTCTCGAATCCCATCGAGCAATCCCTGCTAGCGTTAAATACCATTCACTACGAATGAATACTAACGCTGAGCTCACACTGCTTCTCCAAGAAGATCGCGAGGTCTAGTGGACGCAGCGGATCATTGAGATGGGGCGAGCGGCCACCTTGGGGAAATTCCGTTAGCTTTACCTCATATATATATATATATATATATATATATATATATGTATATGCGTTCTCGGTCGCGCAGATTATCTACATTTCACGCCCACGTCGACTCTTTGGGTGTATAGACACTGGTCATCCGGCGAAGCCAGGTGTTCAGAATGCCTATAAAACTGCGCTTGTATGCGGAATGAGTAAGTGCTCACTGAACACCATTGGAAGTCACTAGTCGCACTTCGCCGAGACATTATGAGCGGCATATATTTTTACACATGTCTTTTCATAGTATCCGGAGCTTCTGGATGCTCGCCGAGTTATTGCGGCTAAGAGCGACCACACCGAGAATTCTAAAGACCTCATGGTGAAACTATCTGAGAGGAGAAACTGTGAAGTCTGGTTTAATTGTGCATTTGAGATAAAAACAGTTGCTACCCTTCGTAAAAATCGTCACTTATTCCGTCTGTTACGAGAAACGGGTAATAGATGACGTAGTGTTAACGGAACTATGTGCAACGAGACTGGACAAGCAATCCACAGCTTGTCGAAATGCTTGGAGCATTTGCCTGGGCACTTTGAAAAACAGTTTAATCAGCCATAGTTGCCAGCTTCCTCATCGACCATTGATCACAGTTCTCCCTGGGCCATCCCTTTGGACCCGTACTGCCACGTAGAAGTCGAATGTGAGCACTGACTGTTGATATTGAATGAGGCCGCAGGCCAGACAGGCTTTCTCCAGCACTCTTCCGGTTCACGGGACTAGTTCTTGTGAATGATTTGTTCAGCTTACTAGTGATGCAGTGAGAGCAGGGGGCTGTCCCAGCTGACTGGGGCATTCTATTCTACTTTTAATTTTCAGAGTGAGTTAACATTTGGAATGTTGTCATCATAGAGAAATCAGTGTGATCTCATTTACCTCTAGGTTACCTGCCTCTGTTGTTCTCCATTGACTAACACCTGTGAAAGCCAAGTTTGTAAGAAACAAGTCGGGTTTCTGCATTGATTATATCTCTCCCGCTTCACTTCTCCCTTCAACCACGATCGTACTCTCGATACGTAATATGGCGTATTATGTGGCTCAGACGCGACATCACTCTCGTCAGGAAGCGCAGAGTTTATAGTGCAGCCGTCCTTTCAACCCTCTTATATGGTTGTGAAACCAGGCCTATCAGGTCGACAGACATAGAGGCTAGTCACGTTCGATCATCGCTGGCTCCACAGCTTAGCTCATGTCTGGTGGGAGCACCGCGTGAGCAATGAGCATGTTCAGCGTCGCGTATTTATTGCAGTAAGTGCTAGTGAACCGGTCGGCACCATTATACCACGCACCAGGCTCCGATGGTTGGGCCACGTGTTGCGCATGCCAGCACATCGACTCCCGCGACGTGCATTGTTTGCGCGCCGGGGGTGTGGTTGAAAAAGAATTAGGGAAGACCAAACGACGACTTGGTCGAACGAAATGAAAACCCTCATTTCGAAGTTGGCGTTGGTTGGTGCATCCCGACTGCCTGGCTGGGGTGTTGAGGACGATGAATAGGTTTGGTTGGACACACTTGCTGACATGGCTAGGAGCCGGCCCCAATGGCGTTTGTGTTGTGAGTTTCTATGTTCACCCCTTCCTGCTTAGACTTCCTTTCCAATCACGATCTCATTCTTCAGGCGTAATATAACTCTTTTTGCGTCTGTTGGCTCTCCGGAACGATGTCCATCTGTTACTGGGGACTCAGGCGGCGTGCCTCTTGTTTTTCTTCTAATTATTCGTATATTCTCAACTTGGTGAGACACAGCCTACTAAGCTGGTCTTTTGTATTGCGGCACAATAGCTGAGGTATTTCCCACCTGCAGCTAACGTGTATAATGAATGAATGAATGAAGCCAATGTTGATGTGGAATTTCGTGGTCGAAACTACTGCTACTGGCTACGAGGTCCGTGATTATTTTCTGTTGTATTGTCTGCGTGCCAATTACCTCTTGCTCTGTCTTCATCTTTATCAATTCTGTGTGTTGGGCACTCTTTCTTTTCTTTTGTCTCCTTTTGTGTTTGCTTGGACCCTGGCGTTTAAACGTCTTCACATCCACTTGCAAGCCTGACCATGTCTTTCTTTAAACGTACTATCGCGTCTACTCTAATCGCTTTCACCGTTTCATTAAAGTGTGTGCAACAACGCTATATCTGTCTTTTTAACCATTTTAATGCCTTTCTCCGCCGCTCTACTTATGCACATTCGTGCTTTCCACACCCTTCAGGTATCCTCCATGTCGTGTCTACAACCCATGCTTTCGTTTCGAACAGGTGAGTTGTAGTCCTTTTTGTTCCCTCTGTTTTCTTGAGAATTAATCATCACAGCATATTCTGCTTATTTGTAATCTTAGCCTAAGCGTGCCAACTACTTGTCCACCTCACTATCAACTCTTCTTTCGGCTACTTGCACTCTGCAAAACTATCGACCACAACGTTCCATCGACTGCTTACTTGGAGTGATGCAGGTATTTTTGTCGACCAGATGCGTTATTTTGTCAACCTTATTCTAGACTCCACATCCTTTTGGTCACTAGCTCTCATCTCTGTCGCTAAACAAGCTACGATTCTGGGAATATCCTCTATGTAGCGATATTCATTTTTTCAACCTGTAATATTTTTAACGAAGCTGACCGCATGTAAACGTTACTCGATGTCTTTATCTGTGTGGAGTAAATAAGGACAAGTATGTGTCTGGTAGACAAATAGAAGTCAATAAATTTAGAAAGAGACGGTTCTTTGGTCATTGCACCATGGATGAGGTGTTGCGTCGACACTCGATCCGTCGATCGATCTAACACCTCATTGGCGCTGAGCATTCTATCCAGATCGGACCATCACGATGGCGTTCCTGATCATGATCGATTCTTTCATCGCTACATCATCCAGATTAAGCTACGTCAAAACCATATGTTTCAAACTGAATGGGGGAAAATTGTTTCTCCCATTCAGTTTTGCCTTTTTTCATCCCCGATTGTTATGCTCTCATGCATAGTTTCCAGCTATTAGTTCACTACTTCGGATACTTGCCTTTCCTTCTTTCTCGGAGTAAAACATCTCGCTTTTCTGCGGTCGTTCAGAGCGTTAAGCGCTTGTTTTGCTGCTTTTTCAATTATAATCCGGACGATTTAGACCCTACTACATTGGCCTCCTAACTTCTTCTTAGATGTGCAACAACAGTACAATCATTAGCCATTTGGAGTAGTGCTTCGGACTTACTCTGGTCACCGTGGTAGGCTAGTTATCGGACCATGTCTCCTATTATCTCACCGTATGAGCATGTTCCATCCACCCAGTCGCTTGACTATGATCCTTTCATCCTGAACTCTAATACATGTTCTCACTCACCTAGAGAACACGCTATTCCTGCTTGGTTCTAGCTTATAGCTAAACCTGATCTGGATTCACGCTTTACCTGCATTTTTGTGCACAAATAGCTGACTGCAAATGTTGTTAGCCCAAGTACCAACCAATGAAACATCTGTGCAGTTGTATTAAACGGCTCCGTCATCAGCAGACTGGTTACTTGGACACATGCTGCATCAATACGCTTTGCTGGGGGGGGGGTCGTCAGAGCTGGCAATAATCTAAGCGGTGCATCTAAGCACAGTTACTTGAGTAAGGGGGGCTTTGTGGTTGTAGCATTTCACGCATCACTCCAACCGCCATCCTTCAGTGCTATTAGTAAAAATATATATGAATAACTAAATAAACGGTATATTCCACGACGGTAAGAAGGACAGTCCAGTTGAATGGTCTGATCAAGGTATACAAACTGGTCTCATAAAATAGATAATTGTTCGTGTTCTAAACAGTGGAGTCCAAACAGAATCTTTAAAAGTGATTGACCGTTTGAAATTACTAGAAGTATTGCGAACAGAAGAACAGCAACAGATGCATCTTGTAGTGCACAGTCAGCTCATCCAACCTCCCTGTACGACCGAAACCACTCCAAGCTGGTTCTGCCTGTTTAAGTATGTTTTACCAACTACTCTTCGCAGCGTCATTCTATATAGGGTAAACTTTGAGGAGTTGTTCGTGCACTCCGGTGACACCGTAAGATGTTGGCGTGGTAGTTCATTTAAGTCGCAACCTTTCACTCGAGTTAACACTGTTCTTATATGCTAGATCAAACTTCCCTTTTTATCTTTGATTGACTTAACCTAACTTGTGCTAGGAATGTTCACACACGACATTAGCTTTTCACATCGTACTGGTTAGTTAAGGACAAGATCCTATTCGATGAATGGGCGTTCAGTTGTACTGTACGCGTCAACTAAATGGCTTATGCGAATACCACCTGTTTTCCTTTCCTCTCTTTTAATTTTTGTTATCCCAGCTGAATGGTCAGGTCACTCATGTATTTAAGCTAACGTCCCATTTTGATCACTTAGTCAGCATCTTTCAATTTATTCTTTAGTAGTGTGGTGGAGTTGTCGTTGTTTCTCATGCTGATGCCGATCGATGCAGTCTCTTCTCTCTTACGATTACCTATCTATCCCATGTTTTCATTCTATCCTTATTTCCATCAGTACCATCCGACTTCCACGTATCCGTCCGCTTCGCCATCCACGAGCCATCGATCGTCCCATCACCACTGACGTCCTTCTGTGCATTACCCAGGTAGCATAGTTGATTTTCTACTTTTCTACTTGTTAGCTACACATGTTCTATTTTTTCCACTTGAACTTATGTCATTCGTAGACGCAGATGAGTATATGCATAATACCTGTGAATGCTCTTTAAGAGATGAGTACTGATTACGTTGTGTATCGACGAGCTTAACGTCGCAATCACCGTCTCGCTCTCCCATCACTCCCAACTCGGTGTTGCTCATTCGGAAGCGTTAATCACTTCGAAGTTAGCACTTTTTTCTAATTCCTTTACACTTACAGACGCAGCTCCTTTGTGTTGCAATATGTACTCTTCTATGTGTCTGTTAATATTTTGTTAACTTGAATTCAGCTTGTTGGCTTTGGTGTACTACCGTACACAGTATTGTTAGAAGAAGTTGTCATTCACCGCTTCCTCGTCCACTCGAATCTGTCCTGTTTAACGAGACGAGTTTTGCTACCGTCTCCTGCACCTAAGTTCCATCTGTCGTAGCCAGGTCACTGAGGAACGACGAGTCATCAGTTTGGTTACTCCTCCGAACATGAGCTGTTAAGGTCTGTCAAACAGCTACTTCGCATAAGAGCTTGAAACAATCGACCGGAAGACCGATTTCGGTTGGTTCATATCACCTTCCTGGCTGTTGACTTCGTTGCTCATTCACTGTGACGATTGAAATTTCTGGTATGTCATGTCACCGTGAAGCTAGTGACGTTGCTACGCTTGGCCCAGCTAATTTCCTCCGATGTTTCTGACTATTTCTAACCGTTTCCGGATCAACGTTTCTCACGGGTCACTTATTTGTATATTCTCCATTATTCCCGTCATTTATATTCTTTGTTGCCGTGACGACGGTATCCAATATAGCTGGTCCACCGATTTTCTACGCCTAGATCAGCGTTTATTCACTGAATCCTGTGCCCCATTCTCGCCCACCCTCTTTATTCGCCCAACTGTTCGCGTTGTCAGAGACAACCAGAGTATTCGGCGATCGTGCGTGATGTTTCCATCAGCTTTTAGTGTGGGATGACGATTACATTACTTGAATAGAGTAGAGTGGTTCTATTAAAAGAAGCTGTTCATTGTTATCTAATTTAGAAGAGAACTTCCACACGTCTACTAAGGGTGGTTCCACTATCATGAATATCTCGAACCATGGACTCAGCATTACCGGAGGCGTGACCTGTGTACGCCCGAGTCTGCTAAATACAGATGAATTAGCTTACTGTTATGCTGCGCGCGTTTTCGCTAACACAGTATACATCAACTCGGAGGGCATGCAAAAACAAAACGAGCTTCGTTTGTTGACCGATCTGACAGGTGTGCGAACATTTAATGAATTATTATGGAGGGCTAACCTACGTCTGAGGAGTGACCATACCACCCTGACAGCGCAGCGCATAAAGTCAGTAATTCACTCTTGTTTCCTAACCCGAGAAGATTCGGGGTGATACAAACCTGAAAAAGTTGCTGTCGATGTGGTATCTTGTGGGCAGATGATATTCTCCAGTCGCCTATTCCTGGAGAGGGATTTTTCTCGCGTTTTCTTGTCTCTAACCTTTGAGTTAACAATTTGACACACAATTTATTGGAATAAACGGGAATTTTCTTAAGTGACTCTACTCTGAACCTTTGATTTAATAGCCTTGCTCACTGGACAATGAGGGTGGACACCTCAAACTCGGGATTGTGACTGCGGAGTCACCTTGAATCGGCCTGAGGACGCTCACATGCCGCCTTAGATGACTCAGAAAAATCCACGTGTTGTTGCACACCTGTGACCACGATCAATCGCAGCTGGGAGTTGGCGCGTTTGCACATTATTGACCAGTGACTATCAGATTTGATGTGGGCGGTACCAAACCATTGAGCACCCGGTGCTGCTCTGTCATCGTGTTTTACGCCAACCGAGCTATGGGCTTTTATTGCCCGTAACCTTTTTCTGCCATGGCTAAGTTTTGAAGAAAGAAAGTCATCAACCTTTCCATAACCTCCAAACCTGCTGAGCTTGAGTTGGCCTGACCATTGACCTGTCTGACATGAGTGACTCTGAAGGCACTTAAAGATGCCATGCAATATAGCCTAATCGGTCATAAAAGTTTGTGAACCATTGTTCACGTTTATGTCCACTGTCGCCGCGATGATCCGTTGCACTGGTCTGGAGGGAATGACCATCATCCACGAGTATGGCAAGCTACAACATCACTTAGTCACCAGTCCTTTTACAATGTCATCGCCTGATCGGTTGTGCACAGTATCGTTTCACCACATATCTAAGGAGGGCATTGCGGAGCACAGTAGTCAACTATCATAGACTGCTCTTTGCCAACAACAAACGTTCCAATACGCCAACGTTTAGGTTCTTTACCAATTTCCCATTAATGAAGTTTGTCTTTACTCGCCCTACGCTCTTTCCACCTATGATGAATGATTTGCAAGTGCTGGAGAGCATCTTTCTTCCGGCCACTCTTGGCTTAACCGGATGCTTATTACTTTGGCTATTTGTTTTTGATCGGTACCCGTGATTTGCTTCACACCATCGGATCAGTTGTGTCACGCTTTAGTTGATGTCACTAATGCTCCATCTGGGATGAGTCACCGGCTGATTGGTTAACAACTTGGATGTGACGTACCGCTGATGGGCCTGCGCCGGTTTGTGATTTGGGGCTAGTTCAATTCGTCTCCCTCTCATGACGACTTGGTGACAGCCTTTTGCACTGCCGCTCCATTGATTCCGCGGTATTCTAACTAGCGCATGTTAACAGTGTGATCCGATGAGCCGCATGCACATTACTACCGTTCAACGACACGAGTCTTTCCGTGCTTCCTGTTTTCATTGTGGGGGCCCAAGATCGCGGACTCTTCTCCGCTAAACTACACAGAAGTATTATTACGCGACCGAACTTGTGTTACTGCACCGGGTTATTTAGCTTATGTAAATCCAACCTAGATTGGCTGGACCCTCAAGTTATCACCTCATATATCTGTCTTGCTCACTGTATTTGTAATAGAAATTATGTTGGCCGAGCTGAAAACAAGCTTTAAAGAGGGGTTTTGGAGCACACCACGTAATATGACCGCGAGTGGCCCCAAGCTGCCGCCTAGCTCAGCTTCAGCGATTCGGGTGATGAAACCTAATTTCTGCAAGCAGACTGCGTTTATGTGCAGCTTCGCCTTAAGTTGTTAAGTCTATTACTCGTTTCAGGTGTAAACCGAATCTGCTTGAACATTATTTTCCCTTGTACACAGCACTATAATTTCACGAACTGTACGTAAAAATCTGTCTAGAATACTCGAAATATCTGAATTCAGAATATCCCGTTAACTGCTGTTCCCTCACGCAATTTGTACATGCAAAAATCCTACATTTCTAGTGTTAAGTATTAGCAAATTTACGCTCCACAACCACTTTTGTTTTTGTATTTCCTCCTACGGTGGGAGGTGTCCCAACTGTGCTTCGCCTCCTGATCTTTTCATAACTGACCATAAGCGTAGAATTGCTTGTTTCCGTGCTCAACAGTCAATGGTGGTTCGAATATTTCAGCCCATAAGAGATTCCTGTTCATTAGCTTTAATGTGTCATTTTTTGACGGCGGATTGGAATGCTCTTGCATTTAGACACAACAAGTGTTTACTGTGCGCCTGCGTTGATGTGACACCTTTTGTGACGTCGTCCAGTCTACACTTATCGCCGGTTTTCCTAGGGGCCAATGATTAGGTTTATTGCTCTTGTACTTTTAAGCCACCTTGTATGGAATATAAATTGGATTTAATCCGATCAATTAATCGCATTTCCGTCGATGTGTTTGACTGCACACGGGTTAGTGCATTGATTGCGACAGGGAACTAAATTCATGTGGTCAGGGAATTAGTTTACAGGCTGATTTGATCTGCATTCAACTGCAACCGTTCTCGAACCTTGAATGCTTGCCTTTACGTGGAATAATTGTGATACGTTTTTACATGCACCTTTCATGTTCCCTACAGGCGCCAACAGGAACCAGATAGGGAATCGTGTGGATGGAGACAGCATTTTTTTACAGCTCAGTCCTGTGCCTCACAGCACGCATAGGTTGGTGGTCCAGATTGCGATACTCCACTCTCACTACCACATCGAATGACTGTTGATTGTATGTCCACCGACAGAAGGCATGCGTAGTTGGAGTGTCAAGTTTGGACTACACGTTGTGTGATTGGATTGCGACACGCAACCTCAATCTAATGTACTGTGATTCACATTGAAATGAACCTTAGTCACTGCGATCACTGGGACCGTATTCAAAGTAGATGGAAATTGCGTGATGCCCACCCAAAAACACTGCACAACCACGACGCGTTTCGATGTAATTTCATCTCATCAGGTGGAGACAGCAGGCCTCGATCCCGCGACCATTGGAATAGTAGCCCACACCACTACCCCTTTGGCTACCGGATCACGGTGGGCAACGCTTTTTGTGATTGTATAATCCGCACTTAATCGATGCCAACTGCCGGTCTGCTCGCTGCCGATGTATGCTAGACTGTCAGAGGAGCCTGACTACACGGTTCTCTCGTACTCTGTCCCAACCTGTAGACATTATCACAATAGTGACGCGATCAGTAGCAGCAATCTACCGTCCTAATGAGGGTTACCAAAAATATGTTATGAGTTCGATTCGCTAGTATTGTCATGCAGCTCGTCGATCACCAATCAAGCGGTCTCAATTACTCAGAGTAGTCTATTTGCCAACTGATCGCGCTCTCTTGGCATTGTCCGTTTTGTGTGAGTCAGAGCATAACCTCTCAATTTAAAAAAAGTTTTAAGCCATCACCAAATCCCTTTGCAAAATACTGCGCAGACTGTTTGACCAGCTCTTTCTTTTGAATAACCTTGTCTGAACATTTTTTGTTCATTACGACCTGCTTTCTCTTCTTCTTGGTATGACGAGTTTGCGCTAGGGTTGATATGTATAAACTGCGCAAAATATGGATACACAGATACAAATTTGAGTGGCATTTAGCGAATTCGTTACTAACCAGCCCTCTTGGTGCAATCGTCAAATACCCGCTTTCTTTCTTATGTCCACCAGATTTGATGCTGCTCTGACAACTGCTGTCGTCCACGCCCTTACTCATTTTTCAAATAGATGTTCTACTCGTATTTTGTCCTGTCGATTAAGTGAAAACCGAGGTGGCATTGTTGCGTTCATAGGACTCCACAGTACCATTTTCCGTAATGATTCACTTAGCATCCTCTACTTGGACTTCCTTCATTCTATTTACACAGCGCTACCCATACCGTCTCGTCTTCTATCGTGAATGCTATTTTCTCTGGTCATACGTTGGACGGAGAGTCGGCCATGTTTCCCAATTTGAGGGCTCCATTGGCCCGTCCTGAATCCGTGGCCACTCCAGAAAGCTTTTTACCCAAGGGGGATGACCACAGTGACGTGAATGTTATTAAACATGCATATGACGATGCCACTGCGCTTTCAGTCCTGTCACTAAGTGGTCTCGAGTGGAAAAAACTTCAGCAGATGAAAATTCTTTCAAGATATCGTACCAGTGGTCAAGTGGTATCGCACTCATCCTCAGACATGGAAGGTACGCACACCCCCTTTCAAATCGGTTTCCTCCTTCTTTGTCGCATGCCTTAATTCACATTCCCTAATTCCCATTTATTTTAATTTTCTTGGGACTACATTTTATGAAGTAATATTTGTCATTGAAACTCATCCACAGCTGACTTACGGTACCGTGAGTACCCCGTTTACGTGTTTATAACTATTGAGCACGGTACTTACTCTTTGCGATCATGCTGGCAATTGATTAAACGGAAATCAGGTCGCAATTTAACTTTACTAACTTGATTGATATTGGAACATGCACAGGAGGTAAAGGTTGGCACATCTATTACGCTGCACCAGACGATTTTTCCACTTTGTTTTCATAGTTCCTTCGTAACAGACTGTGATCTAGTTTTTGTCCCAAACGCCCATAGGATTTATGTGCTTGCATATCATGGTGGTTTTACTCTGGTTTGTTTGCCTCACTATAGCTTCATGACTTCCAGATAGTAATAAGAGGATTCACTTGTTGATGAGGACTTCATTTTCGCTTAGAACTTTTTTATTCATTCTACTGATATTTCATCGCAATAGTTTCCAAGTTAGGTAGTTTTTCGCCCACCCGGAAAGGAACCAGACGGCCATTTGGCGCTTCTGGGCACCATCAGTAGCACGCATCCATAGGCATCCATCAGAAACCGAACCCATAGCCTCTCTAACGGCCTTTGCTACCAGCGTATGCTCGTAAGCCACAGGGGTAAAGGTGACGGATGGTCATATATATATATATATATATATATATATATATATATATATATATATGAGTGAGGGTGGCTCCAACCCCCTACCTGGAGGGCCAGGAGATTGAGTTTGTCTGGCCTCTGTAGTCCAGTGCCAAAACCCCGCTGCCTTATGTTAAGGTTTTTGAACCAAGGGTTTGGTTGAGAACACTAATAGTTCTGCTGTCTAGACCTGGGTAACCTGACAGTATTCTGCCCACGCAATACTATGAACCTTTTTTCTAACAATTTCTCGATGCTCTAGCCGTCGCAGAGGGTAATCAACGGCGCCCTATCTGCTGCATCGAGCAGGATGGATAGGGCCTTGAATGCTACTGCTCAGGCCTTCCCGTCTTCTAACCCCCTTCTTGCGCTTTTTCATCCTTTTCATCCCACTCCAATTTTACTTTTACCACCCCCTTTTCATTCTTTCAATTCTTGGCCCCCTCCACCTTGCTTTAATAGTCGCTTGTCTTCTAGTTTCAACTCATCCAGTCGCAAAGCGTCATTCCAATCCAGTCGACAAGTCCATGTTAAACCAAGGGGACAAATAAATAAATAACTTTGTTTATTTCTCCACTGTGCGAGACACGGACCACTATGTTGGTCCGATCGAACTGTACAAATGTTTCGCAAATTTGTTGTTGATACAGATAAATGGAATACAGAGCGGTTAGCGGTTGGACATTCATCACATTTGTCTGAAATGGCATTACTCTTATCGACGGAGAAAATCATTTTTTAAGGAAAACAATACCTCGTGCATTCAGATCAGTTTATGTTTCGAAACAGGGACTCTTGATTTCTGGTAACAAATGGGTACACGATTTTTATGTCATTTGAAAACATGTAGTGTCTACCATATACACTAACGTCAAAATGTCGTTTACATCAAGAAGAGTAGTGGTCCCAGAACGCTGCCTTGAATGACGCCACTTGTCACACGGGTGCCACCTGATGTGGATTGCCTATCTTGATCGCTGGGGTTCTGTCGGTTAAGTATGGGGAGAACCAAGAAAGTAGATTGTCAGTAATGCCAAGTATTATGATAATGTAAGCGTTACCACCTTTGACTGAGCTTGGGATGTGGTTTAAGAAGCCTACTTGGCAAGACTGACAAGAACGCTGTTTACTAAAGCCATGTTGTGATTGGCTGATTAGGTTCCTTGATATTAGAAACTGGGAAGTCATAGTCTTTATAATCCTCTCCATAGTTTTAATGAGTGTGGAAGTATGGCTAATCGGACGATACTTTGCAACATTCCGTTTTGAGCCTTGTTTATATCTTGGTAGAACACCTGCGTGTTTCCAGTGATACGGAACAGTGCTGGCCTTCATTGACAAGGTAAACGTGTTCTGCAAAAGACTAGGGATATCCGGACCTCCGTATTTCAGTAAAACTGGTGGAATGCCATCAGGACCATCCTTAATGGACGGTTTCGTGACGCTAAACGATTTCCTTATGTCTGCTGTGGGAAAGTCTACTGTTCACAAAGTGCCGTCTGTAAGCCGTTTTTACAATATTTTGTGTTGCTTCTTAGTATGGCAGTTGAAGGACGAACGAGAATGCTCGTTGATTGCTAACGACTACGGGATCATCCGTTGACGAGAAGATAGAGATTTCCATGGACTTGATGCACTCGTTTCCGCATCTTCTTCTCCTGAGAAGTTTTATAAGCTCCTTCGGCTTGTTTGAGTCTACAAGAGCTTGATGTTCTTCATAACTCTGTCTCTCAGCTCCAACAGATTCTAAATTGCAGATTACATTATGGACCTGATGAATTCATGGGATTTTTTATAGCATCTGACCAGTTTGCTGATTTTTCGTTTAGCAAGGTGCTGGCGCGAGGGTCCGCAGTAGTGTTTGGGCGTTTCTTTAGCAAAACTGGAGCGATAGTATCTGAGTATTCGTTTATATTATGATAAGAAGTTTCAGCGGCAACATCTGGGTTGCATGTGAGGAAGAATCTATCCCACTGCATTGATCTTATTGGTGTTGCGAGCGTGTCCCAGCTGATCGAACGGTATGGTGGGTAGTATATATCAATGTACTCGACCTTCGATGCTTGTGTGGGCATAGTGCAATGGAATAACACCGCATTATTATCACTGCCCAGAAGTTTTCCAGTATCTTTACATTATCATCGAGAATTCCCAAAGTGAAGACAAGGTCTAGCATGTTGTCATTTCGTGTTGGCGGCGAAGCCTGCGAACAAATAGTCGATGGAAACTCAGACAACCTAGGTGGGGATGTGTAAGTGTGCCACGATACTTCTGCCATATTGAAGTCACCTCCGACTAGTTTGTACTTGGCCGGATGGTCTGTTATGCAATTGAATATGTCCGCGAGAAATCTGATTTCAGTTTTGTCACTATGTGGGGGACTGTAGGTGCACCCTATGAGGAAGCTGCGCTGATTTATATCAGTCGTGATCCAAACAGAGTCACCGAAATCGGTAAGCATCAGCTCAACCAAAGGTGAGGTGGGGATTGTTTCATCAGTGTATATCACGCAACCTCCCCGGCTGTTGCATCGGCTGTTACTGAAGCTAATATATCCGGGGATATAAATAAATAAGTAAATATTTTATTCTCGACTATGCGAGGCACGCTCATGGAGGCATGATCAGATATGTACAACGGTACAAACATTATAATGCAATTGTAACAGTAACGCAGAAAATTGTTCATATATCCATGATTGGAACTGTACAGTGTTGAAAATGCGAAACAATAAGTTGGCTGTCATGAGATACGGGACCTCAGCTAATAAGAGATTGAGAAACCTGAATGATCCACTGCAAGGTAATGGAAGAGCCCGCACACAAGGAAGGAAAAGGGCAACGTATGGTAGGATGTAAAACGACAACAGTATATACAGATGTAACGATCCTATGTAGAATTGTGACGCTAGTTGATCTGCCAGTGTAAAGTTATGGGCTGTGACTTTATTCGGTGGCGAGTCACATACGCCACTTTGCAGTGTTGTTAAACGGACATTTGTGGCTTTTTGTAGGGAGAACGCTTGCCAGGCGAAAACCCACCACGTCCTGGAACACTGCCACCAATCCATTGAATGGCAAATTGTAACTGGCTATGTTTCTTGTTAAAAGTCTGTTTGCTCGGTTATTCGCAGTCAGGTTGCGTCCCATTTTTTCCGCTGGTTGATGCAATAACTGGTTGCCTATTGCGTTCCTGGGTCCTGTCCGTTGGTAGGTCGGGTACTAAACATTCTTATTGAATATAATGTGTTGATCCTTCTCAGAACCACATGAAGTCATCTCTGATTATGTATATTTGCCGGGGAGCGAAGAATTCGTGTCCAGCTACCCTCACTGGACATCGGTGGTTTGGTGCAAATAGTTAGAGTGGAAGTGAGGCCATGGTCCAGGTAAGTACTTGTTGGTTATTTCGTCCCATCCCAGACGGAGGCAGTTCCTCAGTTCAATCCCGAAGCTCTCCGATGTTCACGACCTCAGAGAAAAGGGAGAGCGGAACAAGCCGAGAGAAGACCGAAAAGGAACAGTCGATGTACCTAGCGTTTGATCAAAATCCTACATTAAGACATTTATTTGAGACAACTAGTGTACAAGGTGTAACAGATATTACGCTAAAGATGTTTTTACTTATGCGGAAGGCATGGCCTGATGGGTAGAATACTTTCATGTGCATAGGGATGAAGAGCAGGATTCCGGTAAGATTCATGAGGTGTAAGCTGACAATGTTCGAATTCTACCTGAGACTAGAAAGTTGGTGTGTAGTCACGATTGGTTGTTATCGGAAACCCAAGGACAGTGACGATGTGGCCGTATTTATATATGCTCACGGGAGAAGGATTACCTAAGACACCATAACTATAATGTACATAGGTATATGAATATAGGAAGCTGAGCATATTAGAAGCTGGCTAAGATTAAATGGATATCAAAAGAAGACTAAGTGTTGAAGGTAAGACGATCAGAAGATATCGATACTGGACCGGGTATCAGTGGACAAGGGTGCCTGTTGGGTTAATCATTCGAGGTGCCAATGAATAACAACCGTGTCAAAGGATCGGACAGCAAACCAGCTGAGCTGTGAAAAAACTATACCAGGAGAATAAACAATCTACAGAAGGACTGACGCCTAGCAAGCTAAGGAGTATTCCCAAAGTTGAATAGAGCATACAGCAAACAGCTGCCGCAGAGCAGAGATAGTGGCTAAAGGAACGGAGGTATCAGTGGCTGATTCAACCATATCATTAAGACTTTTGACCACATGTCAAGTAAACGCGAGTAAGACAGACGACGGATAACGGCGCGCTAGGAGAGATGAATGGCCAGCAATAAAGTTCGTAATAAGGCTTCAGCTACCTCCGGGTCCTACGGTGGCACAGAATAGGTCAACAAACAGCTGAGCTGTGACGCAAACAATCAAAGAGATGAACATGGTAAGAACGGAGCGAGCTCCGGGTATCCGCAAAGTTAAATGGAACCTATGGCGACTAGCTGCTGCTAAGCAGAGATAGTGGCTCAAGAAAAGTATGTATCAGTGGCTGGTGTAGCCATATGATT